CTCTCTCTCTCTCTCTCTCTCTCTCTCTCTCTCTCTCTCTCTCTCTCTCTCTCTCACATAATATTCATTATGTGAATATAATATACACTATTGAATATTTTACATATTTTAATTAAAATATAATTGTAAATAAATTAAAATAAACTGTAAAAGTAAATTATATATTTGCAGATCTCTCTCTCGTAAAATGATATTATCGTAGAAAAAAATTCTGACAACTACAAATTAAACTGTCCACATTAAAAAAAATTTTATACAATTTATGAATTATATGTAATAAGATTGCGTTAACTTTTCCTTATTTGTAAATAATTATAAATTAAATAAAAAGGTTAAATATATAACTTTATTTATTTTACACATTTTTTTATCTATTGCGACTTGCGTCTAAGTTCTGGTAACATCTTAATAAGATTTACGAGCTAATTAATAATGATTTTACTGAAATTAATAAAAGTAAATTAAATAATTTAAATTTGACATCTCTAATTGTGCCATCTAATATTTATATATATCCAAAATAATATTTAATAATTATTTTTTATTAACAACATTTATAGTAATTGAAAGAAGTCAAAATGTCTATTCATTGTTTATTATTATATTCATTGTTCAAATTTTAGCAATAAATAGCCTTTTATTATTAAGTTTGATTTTTATAAATATTAATAAAAAGGGCAATGAACCAAGGTAAATTACAAATACAAATACAATAATAATACATATAAAATAGTTAAAAATTAAAAATTAAAATAAAGGTTAACCGGACGTTTCGACTCAGTTCGAGTCATCTTCAAACAGATTATTCATCGTTATATCCAATCCGCGTATATTAAAAACAGAGTAAATAAGTGACTCTTAAAATAAAAATAAATATTAATAAAAAGTGCAATGAGCCAAGGTAAATTACAAATACAAAAACAACAATACATATAAAACAGTTTAAAATTAAAAATTAAAATAAAGGTTGACCGGACGTTTCGACTAAGTTCGAGTCATCTCCAAGCAGATTATTCATCGCTATATTTAGCCCGCGTATATTAAAAACAAAGTAAATAAGTGGCTCTTAAAATAAAAATAAGTATTAATAAAAAGGGCAACGAGCCAAGGTAATAAATTACAAATACAAAAACAATAATACATATATATAACAGTTAAAAATTAAAAATTAAAATAAAGGTTAACCGGTTTTGATTTTTATCATAACAGTTTTTCTCTCTAAAAGAATTTTACCTAGTTTTACATCCTCTCCGAGTGTTCTAGCGACAAGTGGCACGCTAGGATACAACCTCAAGGATTCCTTAATACACATGTCTAAACATTTCATCCTCTTAAGATCCTGCATAGTTGGCGATCTTTTGTCATCATCGCTAAAAATCTCATGCAATTCCGCGACACATCTCTCCTGCCATTTCGAATTATTCGCCAGAAGGAAAAGCGTAATCGCGGTGGCAGTGCCGACCGAATCTTGGCCGGCTAGCATAAAAGTGCAACATTCCTCGATGATATCCCGCTCAGTAAATTCGGGATTCCTTTCATTAATCTCAACCATATACTCAAGTAGAGATGTTCTTCTAATCGTGCTGTCATCGGCGATAAGAGAATCATTTTTTTTCAAAAATTCACGTTTCTCCTTCATTTTTCTAAGACAAAAATTGAATATGTTTCTCCGCTGTTGTTCCTCTGATTTTCCAGCTGCTGTCAATTGGTAAATCCAGTCGATTAGCAACCACGGTCGTGCAAGTCTATATACCATCATAACTTGGCCCCTAATAATTTATCAGAATAATTTTTGAAACATATAGAATACGATAACTTTTAAAGAATAATTTTCATTTTTTAAATATTTTGGATTTTAATATGATTTGCTAATTAAATAAACGTTGAGAGATTGCACTCACTTTCTGAATGGATCGTCATCGTTTCTTCTTTGATTTGTCGGCGTACCTAGAACCGTCTCTGAAAAATAAGCATTATGTCAGATCACTAATATTTGGTGTAAGTACCACCGCCTTTGAAATGTTGAAACGTATAATAATTGAAGATGGGACTTTGAAGTACGTGTCTGTTTTAAGACATATTAGCGGTGCGAAAATACTGAAAATCAACAAAGGCACATAGTATTACTGTTTCGATAAGTCTCAATATGGATTCTCATGCTAATTAGCATGTACGTGTCGTGTTTATGAAAAAGTAAAATATTTTGGCATACGTGATCATTCGCAAGAAGCATTAATTTTTACAAACAAATGCTATAATTGGTAGAATACCATCAATATGTTCTATTTCATTGTATGACGAATTCGTCTTTATTATTATGTAGAAAGAAGCATATAATCCCGATTTGTGCTATCACATACTTATTATTATTATTATTATTGTTACTTATTATTATCTTTATTTATGTTTACATTTCATAAAACTAAAAATAATTTTAGCAAGACTCTTTTGACCTGCTTTTGTAAATTAATAAGTCCAATATTGTTTTTATCGAAATCAGAAAAAAGAAAATTAGAATAAAAAATGAAAAGAATTAATTTTAATTTCATATCTCTATGAAATGTGTGTATCAACAATAAACAAATTTTCGTAAAAGAATCTTTTTATTTTTTAATGTTATATTTGCTTAAATTAAGCATGTCTTCGATAGCTTTGATCGCGTTAGATCAAACGAGGATGATATTCTTGGATAATGAAGTTTTCTCTTCGTCACCATTAAAATCTATATTATCTTAAGCACAAGCGATTAATTTATATTACGTACCGTGCAATATGTCGTAAACCGAATTATTGATAAATACGGTGATATTTATATCTTTCCCATTCTTCTCAAGTAACTTGTCGACTAGGCGATCGGCATACTCGCTGAATATTCCGACGAATTTCTCGAGCACGTGACGATGAAAGGCTGGTTGTAAAAGCCTTCGATGTACTTTCCATTGCTCGACGTTTTGCGTAATCAGACCCTTGCCCAAAAAATTATCGAACAGCTTGTAAAAGAATATTTTCTGTGTGTGCTTCACGTTGTTAAGTACTACTTGGATGTCCTCCGGCTCGACGATCATAATGTATGGCAGAAACGTCACCCAGAGCCGGAAAATACGACCGTAATCCTGTATCTCGTTTGTCATCCTTTGAATCACTAGAAAATCAAAATCCTTTTATATGTACACATTTATATCGTTTTAAATATATAAAAATAATATTTTATTAATTGTAATATTTTATTTAATAATAATATTTTATTTACAGGCTGTTATAACTTTTGTGGTAAAATAATATAAAACTTGGACTTGGTTGTTTTCAATATCATTAATATATAATATATTTTTATTTTTTTTTGTATTTTCTCACTAAAACGAGAAATTTTCGCATTAGTGGTATAAGGTTTCATTATTATTTAATTATATGATTATTAATTTTTAAAATAGACATATTATATATAATTTTTATTTTATTAAAATCTTTGTAAGACCGTTTTATTTTATTATTCTTTAACTCTTATATACCCTATATTTATATATTTTGTATTTTGTATTAATTAAGAGTCCTGTATTATCTCATCTATTTTTTATATATTTTTGTAAAATTTGAATGATTGCGGTTTTTGATAATTTGCAACTAATTAACATAATATACAATTTCAATTAATAACATTGAATTACTCACAATTTCCTTCGAGAATGGCATTAACATTGCCAAGAATGGGCACTGTCTTCGGTCCATCGAGGGTGAAGATAAATCTGAGGATTCTGACGTAATTCTTCAATGCGTATATAACGTAGATAATAGCTAAAAAGGCAAGATAAGTCCACATCTCTCCTGATGTGTGATTCGACTAATTAAAAGAAATGTATTTTTTATGTCAATGTCACATGAATAATAAATTGCAGGAAAGAATAAAAGAACTGCCTAGTAATATGAATCATTTGATTTATTGCCACAACGTATTTTTTAAAATAACGAAGACGTTGCCATAAAATTTAATCGCTACTTAGATCAAATGCGTTAAAAGGATATGCAAAAAAGGGGTAAACACAACGAATAGATTTGCTTAAACTTTGGATATCTGTTTTTCTCATTTCTATGTTTTAATTTACTATTTCTAACTCATCTTCTTGAACGCTTAAATCAATGTTAATTCTGCTATTAATAAAATCAAGAATAAAAAAATTGCGACCTTCTTTAAACATTTAAAACTGTTAACATCGTCTACTTTATCCATTAAAGATGTACGTATTTCAAAATAAAAAAGTTATTAAAAAAATATAAGTTCTAAGTACACACTTGGAAAAAAATGTGTCGAACTTACCATACACCACATGTCGTAAACGGTCCACTCAAATTTTTGGGTTAATTTAACACAAGATAAACATGTTAGAAGGTTACATAAATATTACGTCAGAAAATAAATACACAAAAGATAACATTGATATAGTTATAATAAACAAACCGTGGGAAGCATTTTTTTCAGAAAATAAATATTTATGATATGGTAATATTAACATCTATTTTATTCAATAGTCTTAGAATTAACGTTTTAAAACACTATTTTTATGTTACTTGTCCATTTACTCATATAAATTGTGTCATTTTGACACTAAGAAACGTTGAATATCAATTTCATACAAAATCTTTAAATAACATAATCGCATTATGTTAAATTAATACTCGAATATATCAAAAAATTTAACACAAACTGTTAACACAAACGTGAATGGACCGTTTCCAACACAAATACACAATTTTTTTAACTGTGTACTAGATCAAATTTAAAAATAATACAAAAAATTTTTTAGCAACGATTCACCATCTGGATCAAATGTTATTTTAATAAAAGAAAGTATTTTCTATCTCTATGCTCTAAGAGTGTATAAGATGTATTATAAAATAATGACAAACATTTCAATTTTTTTTTATGTAAGTACTTTAAGTACGTAAGTATTTCTTTATAAGATTACATTTTTACAATTTTTATAAATGTATGTACATACTTTTTACCCTATATACTATACTAAATAAAAATAATGAGTTTTCTCCAAGATTCTTGTCTATATTTATTATAAAATACTTAGACTCAGCAATTTCTTAATTACAATTTATCACTTTGCGTTGAATTGTGCGATATCGTAGCCTCGTAACATAACGTATGATACATGGGATTGTATCATTATAAATAGCATTGGTTCACCCGCTCAATTTCATGAGGGACGTTTACTTCCTCAATTAACAATTCAGAATAAGATACTTGTTAATTAATCGCCGAATCATGCAAGTAGAGTGTGTTGCGAGCAATCGCAATACGAATTGCATAATAAATTTTACAACAAGGATAAATCGAGAAGCTTATCAATTATATATGTTAACTTATCCTATATACAAGTGTGATTAAAAACTGTAAATTGAAATATTAAAATAACGTTAATATATTGAGCTAATTTTAATTAAATTGTCACCTAGGACTTTTAAAATTTATCATGATTGTTAGAGTCATAGAATTTATCTATTGTTCAAAAATAAATATTTTTTGACATAAAAATTAAAAGACTATCTTTTTACTTTTAAAGATATAAACTTAATAAAACAGCAAATTACACTTTTCGCAAACTTTCTGACTGTTCATCTTTTATTTCGCACGAAAGAAAGTTTAGTCGAGCTATTTTTTTTTGAGAGAAAGAATTTAAGATATAGCTATACAATTTGGAGAAAGTGTAGTAGTAGAACACGATACTTTAAATTCGACACACATTTACACACATAAATCATACAATATATAGTGAAAGTTATCAGTATGACATCTGTCAACTAATTCGCGTCTATTTTTATATGTCGACGTACAATAAAAAAATGCCTTTCCCTTTTCAAAATGTTTAGGAAATATACTTAAAAAAGATATTCATCACTCTGACAATTTATGTTTATTTCTTTAATTTTCCCAATTTTTTATAAAAAAAAAGCACGCACGTTGTATACGACGTTTAATTAAATTACATCGTGCAGACCGATAAAGTTTTTCTTAGCGACATTTATTGTCTTATCGCTGTTAGTCCGACTTCTGTATTTCAGTAATGATAAAATCATTTGAAACTGGTATAAGACCTTGCAAAATTACCGCCGTTATAAAACATTGCAACATCGCATCCTTGATCGATTAAAGAGATAATTTAATTCTGCGTAGTATACAAAACAATGTGTGCATAGAATCGATTTTCGATCTTCCATATCGTTTGTCAATTTCTATCAATTATCAACACAATGGTAAATCGTCTAGTATAGTTTAGTACACGCGCGCGCGTATCTAGTATCCTCACCTGTTAAAGAAAGACCGTAAAACAGTGTCATAATTCTTTGAGAGACCAATCACCACTATCAGACATTCGCACAGCGGGAGATTTACATTCGCGATTGAAACGATCAACTGACTAAACCTTGCTCGCCGGTAGTTTATATAGATATGTACGAGGAGATCGGATTGTCTCATAACTATAAGCTCGTAGTCCATCTCTCCGCTAAAATCGACAATTAACGCCCTGATCACGTATTTGTGTGATGTGCGCGTGCAGGCGTGTTTGCGAGTCGCCCAGGTGTCTCGGGGCGACCTCCAGGAGACGAAGCGAGGCGAGATGAGGCAAGTTGAAACAATCGTCAAAGAGGATGCTTTATATGTATCCTTTCTGTATATGTTCAGAATCGTAGGACAGAATGAGATAAGAAGGAAACGATCTCAAGACGAAACAACTTCCACAAGCCACATTTTATTTTTTTCGCGCAGTGTTTTTCACCCTATTTCGTATAAACGTACAAACAATGATAAACAAGATACATATATAAATGCATCGTTAATTAATAAGTAACGGCATATATAATGATAATGATATTGAAATCACTTGTTAGTATTTATAAAAAAAATGTGTTGATTTCATTAGACGTGGGGTATCTCTTTTTATAAATATTCCTATATCGATAGCGCCATTGAAAATATTGAGGCTGGATTGAATTTTTTACAGGACTCGGTTAACATGTCAAAAAATTAATTTTTATCCGCGGTATGACTCGTGTTAATTTCACTTGAAGAATATTAAATTTTTTATTGGCTGAACAGGACTTCAAAGTGAGTCGAAATGTACTGATATTGTTATTTGGATGGAATAAAATGATTTGGGAAAATTCACTTCTTATTACTTGCGTTACAACAACACGTTGCACTTTCATTGGTCCTTTACTAATGGAATTTCTGGTTTGAATTTTCGAAAGTCTACAAGAAAATTGAATTATTGGTTTATAAAAAGATGGTAATATGCATATAAACGTGACTACTCATGCGTTGAGTTTCATGCAATTATGTAAAGTGTGAAGGACATGACCAAGGATAAAGACTTTCGACTTTTCAGGATGTAGAGTATTTCATTCAAGAAAAGGGTGGAAGTGGTTTCAACAACACGCGTCAATATAAATCTATAGTATGAGAAAGTAAGATAAACTAGAAGTAGGATAGATTAGAAGTATAAGGAGAGTTGGATAAGCAATAAGCGATAGCATGCAGCGTAAGCATTCTGATCAAATACTGTTTTAGTCAAATCACTCTCAGTATTACTTAAAATTTATCAAAAATCAAAATATTTTTTTTAATACCCCAAATTCTGAATGTACTATAGATTCCATATCCGTAGGAGCTCTGAGTATGGAATTTCTGCACATTCATGGGAACACTCTCTGAAAAGCTCCATATATCTTTCATAAAAAAGGCTGTAAAACTGATACCGTATAGACAGTAATGCCACATATTTTTATTCATTTTCTTTTATAGGAACCATCCATACAAAATACTTATAAGTGAATGTAAATGAGATTTTCTAGAATCCTTTCACTTCAATATAGAGTATGCATATGAATAGCAACAAAAAAGGAATTTTTATATGCATATGTTATATAGAAGTGAAAGGATTCTAGTAAATCTTATTCTTATTATGGAATTTTATTATTGTAATAATTTTAAGAAATTTTAATGTATAGACGAAATTTTTTATTGATTTTTATATGCATATTTTTTTGCAGGATGCAAATACGTAACGCGACAGTTTTCTTTTTGAAAGGTAAAATTGCTTTTAGCTCCCTCCGATAGAATTAATATTTGACACAATATAACGCAATACTACAGATTATGGTAAATTAGCTTATGATCTGTCTTATAAGTGTGTTGGTTTATGTTGCATTTTTATATATTTAAAACTAGAAATTATAAAATAAAAAAGAAAAAAATAAAACAAATTTAGCATCCAAAAAAATATATTCTGTCGAAATTTGCAATTTGTAAAGGAAAATTGTAAAAATTAATTTTACTTTCATATTTCTAAAATTCAATTTTAACTGATTTTATATAGAAATAAGCCGCAAATATATGAATTATAAATCTTTACTTGTTTATAGTCATTTATAAATTTAATATATAATAAAAACAAAATAAAATTAATATTAGATCGTGATCAATATCAATAAAATGCAATAATATTCAATTTCCGAGAAATAAGGGGGCATCTTTTTAGAAGACCTATATATATTATATATCGGTATTGACGGCTTTCTTCTCTAAGTTGTCCAAATATAGATATAAACAATTAATGTTGTAATACGAGCATAAAATCATAATCACAAGATACAGTAGTATAATTGCAATCAAAATTATTTCAATTATTAATGATTGTAGCATACGTTATTTTACGTGTTAATTTTACTATCTTATTCGTTAATAATGACTTTAAAATAAAAAAGAACGCATACAGTTTTAAACGTTGTACTTTCTAGTGAATAAAAATGAAT